CGCCCCGGACAGCGGGGACCCTGCCTGAGGCTAGGTGGGGGACGGGGGCAGGGGGCGGTTCTGGGAGGGTACCCCCGGGGCCCCGCAGCTGTGAGAGCCCGAGATCTCGCTCAGCTGGGGAACATGGGCAGGTGCTGTGTCCAGAGCTCAGACACATGCGATGCCCAGACGGAGGGACGTACCCCTTCTCAGGCTGTGGACAGCTACGGCTGCTTGGGGACACCTCTGGGGGAAGTGTCGGGGGGTACGCGGTGACTGCCCGTGAGGCAGGAGGGTCGGGGGGGCGAGGGCTCACACCTCCTCAGCCCCAATGCCCGGGGGCTCCCCACTCACCAGCAACTCGTCGGCGAAACACAGGCCCAGCACCAGCCCCAGCGCGCAGGCCGCCAGCCCAAAGGACACCCCCAGAGCCACCGTCCTGCAGGGGGACAGGCCTAAGTTCTGGGGGAGCGTCTGCTCAGGGCTAAGCCTCCGACACGCTCCCCCGTCTCCCAGCACCCCGTCCTCAGGCGCACAGCGGCCTCCTGCCTGCACCCCCTTCCTCCCCTGCTCTGAAGCTGCGCTTCTCTACTCAGCTCAGAGCCCTCTGACCCCGTGTCCAGCTGCTGCGCCCACAGCTCCAGGGCCTGGCCAGACCTGAGGCCCGACGGCAAGCCACGGTCCGTCTGCACCAAGTACGAGGAAGGGAGCGCAGGCGTAGCCCTTGGCTGAGCGTCAACCTGTGAGCCAGGAGGTCACGGCACAGGCCCGGGTGGTGGGCTCGATCCCCAATAGGGGGCGTGCAGGAGGCAGCTGATTGGTTATTCTCTCTCATCATTGATGTTTCTCTCCCTCTCCCTCTCCCTTCCTCTCTGAAATCAATACAAATATATTTTAAAAATGAGTGACTTCGCAGCGGGGTCCCCACTCCACGCCCCTGACCCCAGCGGGGGCCTGGTCCGGAAGCTCCCTGTCTTGTCTCAGTGGCGTCCTGAACACAGTGCCCTGCACTGCGGCCTAACCGCCCTCCGACCAGCAAGGGGCTGACCTCCTCTCTCCATGGCCTCACCCCCACCCGGCCCCGACAGGGCGCTGGGGGCAGACGCAGCCTCTCGGTGGTGGGCACCGGATAATGCATGACCCACGCCTCTGGGCCTCCGTGTCCCACAGCTAAGGGGGGGCCAGCACCCGGGCAGGAGGCCCACCCGGAGATGCCCCCCGCGTGCAGACAGCAGGCTTCCAGGGTGAGAGGCGTGTGGGAGCCTCATGGGCTCGTGACATCCGGCCCCCCTGCCGGCCGCCGACCCCCGCCTGACCCCGGTGGGCTGACCGTCCTGCCCACACCGACTGACCTGGGCAGGAGCAGGACGTGGACCAGCAGGAGGCAGACGAAGACGAGGCTGGCGCAGGCGAAGTAGTGGCGGACCCGGGGGATGGGCGCCAGGCGGTACTGGGGGCAGGAGAGCGTGAGGGGCGCCCTGACGGCAGAGGCCCCGCAGGGCCACGTGCCCTGACCCCTTCGGCCGACTCAAGCTAATCACCTTAAAGCACCTCACCCTCCTTGTCTCCATCTGGTGTCTAGAGGGGGCCCTTCCCCTCCCCACCCCCAGCTCCCCCACTTTATCTCCACGTCCCTGAACAGCCAGGGCCCGAGGCCCCTCCCGGGACGGCCAGGCGCTCACCTCTCGCTCGAAGCCCTTCTCCAGGAAGATGGGCCCGAAGGTGTAAAAGTCATCAGACTTGGAGCAGCAGGGCCTGGGGGCAGAAGGGCAGTGAGATGTGGGGAGTGGGAGGGCCCCCCGGGGGAAGGGATGGCCAGGGGGCAGGGCCCCCCTCTCAGGAGGCAGCACCAGGGAGGGGAAGGAGCTCCCAGGTCATGACTGGAACTGAGCCACCTGGGGGGCCCTGGCCACCTGGGGGGCCCTCACCTCGTGGAGCTGAGCCCCTCGATGGCTGACAGCATCTCGTCGTCATAGGCGTTGTCCTCCGACCGCCCCTTGGGGGACGCACTTCTGGAATCAGACAGGCACCCAGCATCACCCCAGGGACCCGCGCAGCGGTCGGGGCAGCCTGCCTGGAGGAGGTGACTGGGACAGGGCTGGCGGGAAAGGCAGGCCACTGGGACGGGGAGGGGCCAGCACACCTACCTGTCGGGGGTGCGGTGGCGCCGCAGCGGGATGGCCTGGAGGGAGGGGGAGAGACTGTCAGCCATCCGGTCTCGGCCTAGTGCCTCGGACACACGGGCAGGTGTGGGGGTGTGGGACCACCCCTGGACCAAACGGGACCCGGCTGGGGAACGAGGAGGGCGCAGACAGCCCAGCCGCCCTGGGGCGCCCTCCACGTCCCCGGCAGGCGGGGCAGAAA